CCAAGCGCTTCACCAAGCGCTCCAAGCACTTCAAGCACTTCACCAAGCGCTTCACCAAGCGCTCCAAGCGCTTCACCAAGCGCTCCAAGCACTTCACCAAGCGCTCCAAGCACTTCACCAAGCGCTCCAAGCGCTTCACCAAGCATTTCAAGCGCTTCACCAAGCGCTCCAAGCGCTTCACCAAGCGCTTCACCAAGCGCTCCAAGCACTTCACCAAGCACTCCAAGCGCTTCACCAAGCACTCCAAGCGCTTCATCAAGCGCTCCAAGCGCTTCCCCAAGCGCTCCAAGCGCTTCACCAAGCGCTCCAAGCGCTTCACCAAGCGCTCCAAGCACTTCACCAAGCGTTCCAAGCACTTCACCAAGCGCTCCAAGCATCACTTCACCAAGGGCTCCAAGCGCTTCACCAAGCGCTCCAAGCACTTCACCAATCGCTCCAAGCACTTCAAGCACTTCACCAAGCGCTTCACCAAGCACTCCAAACGCTTCACCAAGCGCTCCAAGCGCTGCACCAAGCGCTCCAAGCACTTCACCAAGCATTTCAAGCGCTTCACCAAGCGCTCCAAGGGCTTCACCAAGCGCTCCAAGCACTTCACCAAGCGCTCCAAGTGCTTCACGAAGCGCTCCAAGCGCTTCATCAAGCGCTCCAAGCACTTCTTCACCAAGCACTTCACCAAGCGCTCCAACAGTTCACCAAGCGCTCCAAGCGCTTCCCCAAGCGCTCCAAGCCTTCCCCAAGCGCTCCAAGCACTTCACCAAGCGCTCCAAGCGCCTCCCCAAGCGCTCCATGCGCTTCACCAAGCGCTTCACCAAGCGCTTCACCAAGCGCTCCAAGCACTTCACCAAGCGCTCCAAGCGCTTCACCAAGCGCTTCACCAAGCGCTCCAAGCACTTCACCAAGCACTCCAAGGGCTGTGAAGCGCTTGGAGAAGCGCTTGGAGCGCTTGGTGAAGTGCTTGGAGCGCTTGGTGAAGCGCTTGGAGCGCTTGGTGAAGTGCTTGGTGAAGTGCTTGGTGAAGTGCTTGGAGCGCTTGGTGTAGCGCTTGGAGCGCTTGGTGGAGCGCTTGGAGCGCTTGGTGAAGCGCTTGGAGTGCTTGGTGAAGCCCTTGGAGTGCTTGGTGAAGTGCTTGGAGCGCTTGGTGAAGCGCTTGGAGCGCTTGGTGAAGCGCTTGGAGCGCTAGGTGAAGTGCTTAGAGCGCTTGGTGAAGTGCTTGGAGCGCTTGGTGAAGCGCTTGGAGTGCTTGGTGAAGTGCTTGGTGATCTTGCACTTGCACCTACGTTTCATGCTACGCTATGAGATCATCTCTTGCACTTGCACCCACGTCTCATGCTACGCTAAGAGATCTTCTCTTGCACTTGCACCCACGTTTCATGCTACGCTATGAGATCTTCTCTTGCACTTGCACCCACGTTTCATGCTACGCTAAGAGATCTTCTCTTGCACTTGCAGCCACGTTTCATGCTACGCTATGAGATCTTCTCTTGCACTTGCACCCACGTTTCATGCTACGCTAAGAGATCTTCTCTAGCACTTGCACCCACGTTTCATGCCACGCTATGAGATCTTCTCTAGCACTTGCACCCACGTTTCATGCTACGCTATGAGATCTTCTCTTGCACTTGCACCCACGTTTCATGCTACGCTATGAGATCTTCTCTTGCACTTGCACCCACGTTTCATGCTACGCTCAGAGATCTTCTCTTGCACTTGCACCCACGTTTCATGCTACGCTATGAGATCTTCTCTTCCACTTGCACCCACGTTTCATGCTACGCTATGAGATCTTCTCTTGCACTTGCAACCATGTTTCATGCTACGCTATGAGATCTTCTCTTGCACTTGCAACCACGTTTCATGTTACGCTATGAGATCTTCTCTTGCACTTGCACCCACGTTTCATGCTACGCTATGAGATCTTCTCTTGCACTTGCACCCACGTTTCATGTTACGCTATGAGATCTTCTCTTGCACTTGCACCCACGTTTCATGCTACGCTATGAGATCTTCTCTTGCACTTGCACCCACGTTTCATGCTACGCTATGAGATCTTCTCTTGCACTTGCACCCACGTTTCATGCTACGCTATGAGATCTTCTCTTGCACTTGCACCCATGCCAATTCACGAAAACGTGTCCGGTCCAAAAAGCTTTGACAGGCACGCGAAATTCGAGGGTTTTTGGAAGCGGCTGAAGAAATTTGTGGCGCCATAACTTTGAACAAGAGATCCGAAGGATCGACGTGGCCAAGCACTTGTTCGACGCTTCAAAAGTTTCATGTTTCAGACACAACTGTGGGTGCCAACTCTGATTCAGCTTGGCAAAGTTTGGCTAAAGAAAACGTTTTGATTTTTTTTTGGCAGACGATCTTTCAAATACATGGAAAAACACAGGCGAACTAGGAAAAGGGTGTGCCGTCTCGCGCCTCCCATGGTGCGAATTCAAACAGAAAACCTTGACCCCAGAAATAAAAGGACCGGATAACCCCACAAGTCAACTTCTTCCAATATTGAGCAAGAAATCTTGTTGCGGGGACGGGGAAGGAAGGAAAGACAAAGGAAGAGGTGGAGGAAAGATGGTGTGTGACAAAGTTGTCTGCGTGAAAGATGGTGTGTGACAAAGATGGTGTGGTGAAAGATGGTGTGTGACAAAGTTGTGTGTGAAAGAAGGTGTGTCAAAGATGGTGTGTGACAAAGTTGTGTGTGAAAGATGGTGTGCAAAAAATTGTCTGTGACGGTGTGTGAAAGATGGTGTGTGTGTGTGTCAAAGATGGTGTGTGACAAAGGTGTGTGTGAAAGATGGTGTGTGAAAAAGCTGTGTGTGAAAGATGGTGTGGGACAAAGTGGTGTGTCAAAGATGGTGTGTGAAAGATGGTGTTGATGGTGTGTGACAAAGTGCTGACAAAGATGGTGTGTCACAGATGGGGTGTGAAAGATGGTGTGTGACAAAGTGGTGTGTGAAAGATAGTGTGACAAAGTGGTGTGTGAAAGATGGTGTGTGGCAAAGTTGTGTGTGAAAGATGGTGTTGATGGTGTGTGAAAGATAGTGTGTGACAAAGTGGTTTGTGCAAGATGGTGTGTGACAAAGCTGTGTGTGAAAGATGGTGTGGGACAAAGTGGTGTGAAAGATGGTGTGTCAAAGTTGGTGTGTCAAGGATAGTGTCTGAAAGATGGTGTGAGACAAATTTGTGTGAGAAAGATAGTGTGTCAAAGATGATGTGGAGGCTCTGTGTACTGCGCCTGCCACGCGAAAGGCAGCCGCGGCCCCAGCGGCGGCCACGCGCGCCGCAGCTCGTCCAGGAGCCTCTGTGTACTGCGCCTGCCACGCCAAAGGCAGCTGCGGCCCCAGCGGCGGCCACGCGCGCCGCAGCTCGTCCAGGAGGCTCTGTGTACTGCGCCTGCCACGCAAAAGGCAGCCGCGGCCCCAGCGGCGGCCGCGCGCGCCGCAGCTCGTCCAGGAGGCTCTGTGTACCGCGCCTGTCACGCCAAAGGCAGCTGCGGCCCCAGCGGCGGCCACGCGCGCCGCAGCTCGTCCAGGAGGCTCTGTGTACTGCGCCTGCCACGCCAAAGGCAGCTGCGGCCCCAGCAGCGGCCACGCGCGCCGCAGCTCGTCCAGGAGGCTCTGTGTACTGCGCCTGCCACGCCAAAGGCAGCCGCGGCCCCAGCGGCGGCCACGCGCACCGCAGCTCCGCCAGGAGGCTCTGTGTAGTGCGTCTGCCACGCAAAAGGCAAGCTCTCTGTACTGCGCCTGCCTGAGTGAGTGAGTGAGCGAGTGAGGTAGGTGAGTGAGTGAGGGAGGGAGTGAGTGAGTGAGTGAGTAGTGAGTGAGTGAGGGAGGGAGTGAGTGAGTGAGTGATGAGTGAGTGAGTGAGTGAGTGAGTGAGTGAGTGAGTGATGAGTAGTGATGAGTGCGGCGCGGCGGCGGCGGACGGAGGAGAGCGGCGGGATCCAAGCGAAAAACAAGAACCCCACACAGTGATGTGAGGAACAAAAATCTGTAAATACCACAATTTGTCTTAAGAGCCGCTGAAAAAAAGGTGCGTTTTCCTTGGGTCGCTAACCTCGCCGTAGCCTTGTTTTTTCGAGAGTTTCGCGCAATATGCGGTCAAAATCACAGGCCCAAAACATTATATTCAGCAAAAGCGGCAAATGTCATCCAAAATATCCAAAAAAATTGTCTGAAATTCTCTCACTCCAGGAGCTTGCAGAGCTGGTGCCTCGTTTCATGCAAAGTCCAGCCAGCAAGGCCCCAGAAGACGCTGCGCGGCTGCGAGATTTGCGGCTAAAAGCAGCCACACTCCTGGGCAAAGGGCATTGGACTTACTTCCTGGCGACCTTTGCTTGGTTGCAAAAGTGTTTTCGCCGCGGTAAGCAGATTGTTGTGATTGCCGTTTGTTCTTGTCAGTTCAAACCTGTTTGCAGGTGCTTGGCAGGTCACTTTACGTTTCTCCAAATCATATGATTTTGATTGCTTCCCATATGTTGCCTTTTTTCCACGGTTCCAACGACAGGTGTTTGGCATTGATGCGGAATGAAACGGTGATTCCGTTCAGCGAGCGTGACTTGAGCTCCGCCTGTGTGGAAGTGGCCGAGTGGTTGGAGGTGGCTGCTGCCGACAACGTAGAACAACGTTTGTGCGCTTTGTTCTTGGCAGTTCGATTGGCGCAACATCTCGGACCGGATTGGGCTTTTGTGTTGTTCTTCTTTACTTCAAGCAAAAGTTCGGCGTAGCTGTTTCAAAGAACATGCAGGACATGCCATTTTGTACTCATCCTTCCTCAGTCTCACCTCATTCTCACCGTGCTGTTCCCATTTCAAGATTTTCAATGGAAATGCCAGGTCTATCTTGCGCCTTCTTTGTTTGATTTTCCTGTTACAAGTTTACCGTGAGACCGCTTCTGGGAGGACTAGGATTGAAGTCGTGGGGCTACGACGCACTAAATCCTCTAAAGGAGATGCCTTGCTCTGATAGAAGGTTCATGGCCATCACCAAGTTGGAGCTCATGGGTTTCCTGATACTGCTAGAAATCATTCAAGTTCCATGTGTTTTCTTTGGTTTTCTTTCAAATGTGTCCAAAGTCCAAAGTCATGAAGACTTTCAACATGTTTGGGCACCGTGGGTATTTGCAAATCTTCATGCTGACTAGGTTGGGAGCTGCAAGATGACTGCATCAAAGGACCCCCAGAGTTCCAACCAGCCGATCTCCAACGGCTGAAGGATGGTCTGGTCAAAAGTGGCGGCCCCATTTTCAGCGCACCAGGCTGGCGCTGAAAATTGGAAGATCCATCAAGCAGTTTCTTGGAGCCCCGGCTTTCTGGAGTGTGCTGCGCCTACGAGAAATGGAGAGCTAACAGTTCCAAAAAAGATTTTCCTGTTTGATATTTCTTGGCCAAAGTGCCATTCTGAGAGCAGGAAAACTTTTCAGAAGTTGCCCTCGCGCTGTGCATTGTGTGCTTCCACTTCCTGTGACCTAGGTAGAAGGCACACCCTTGAAGCAATTTTTGTGCCCCAATTTGTTTTTTTATCAGGATCACTCAATCAATGCATTGAACCATTCTTCCCAGTTTCTTTCCCATATCGCCCCACTTTGACGACATCATTCTCCCACATGGACCCATTTGGCCAGCAAAAAAAATTGTTTGCACAGGCATCGCACAGAGAACGATGCGGAGTCGCTAGCGTTGAAAAGAGCGAGCAGAACAACATAGGGGGGCGTGATTGCAAGAATTAGGCCAGCATAGACCCCAGACCCAGATATCAAGATATTTTTTGCAGCAACCAAGCACTCATCTTTTTTTCCCGGGGGCGTTTGAGCGAAGGGTTCTTCTAATAGTGGAGGTCTGCTATACATCTTCATATGTTCACATCTTCATCACGCCTTCTCATCTTCACTCTCTCTGTCCTTCTCTCTCTCTCTCTTCCCATTTTCATCACATTTTCATCACATCTTCACTCTCTCTCCTTCTCTCTCTCTCTCTCTCTCTTTCTCTCTTTCTCTCTTTCTCTCTTTCTCTCTTTCCCTCTTTCTCTCTTTCTCTCTTTCTCTCTTTCTTTCTCTCTTTCTCTCTTTCTCTCTTTCTCTCTTTCTCTCTTCCTTCCTCTCTTTCTCTCTTTCTCTCTCTCTCTCTCTCTCTCTCTCTCTCCCTCTCTCTCTCTCTCTCTCCCCCTCTCTCCCCCTCCCTCCTTGCCCTCTGTCACGGTCTCTCTCCTTCTTTTTCTCTTCTCTCTTTAGGCTTCGGGCGCTGCCAAGGAGGCGCCACGAAATGGCCACCTTTTCGCACGAAACGATGTTCGGGTGTCAAAAACTGAGCAAAATTGCGATTTTACATTCTCCGCAGCAACTGTTTCGCGCGAAATGAGATTCGATGGTCAAAAACTGAAGTAAAATTGCGATTTTACATCCTCCGCGGCAACCCTTTTGCACGAAATGAGGTTCGATCGTCAAACTCAGGTAAAATTGTGATTTTACTCCTCCGCGGCACTGTTTTCGCACGAAATGAGGTTCAGTTGTTAAAAACTTAGGTAAAAAATTGCGATTTTGAAGTGTCCACGGCAACGTTTTCGCACGAAATGAGGTTCGAGTGTCAAAATCTGATGGTTTTTTGGGATTTTGGCTGGTCCGGCAGCAACCCTTTGGCACGAAATGAGGTTCGAGCGTGATTTTGAAGTGGCTGCGGCAACCTTTTCGCACAAAATAAGGTCCGAGTGTGAAAACCTGATAGTTTTTTGCGAGTTTGGTTGGTCCGGCGGAGTATCTGTGTGCAAAAGTGTTTGTATGTAAAAGGGCTGTGTGTAAAAGCGTTTGTGCGTAAACGGGTCTGTGTGTAAGAGAGGCTGTGTGCAAAAGCATGTGTGTGTGTGTGTAAAAGCGTTTGTGCGTAAACGGGTCTGTGTGTAAGAGAGGCTGTGTGCAAAAGCATGTGTGTGTGTGTAAAAGCGTTTGTGTGTCAGAGCGTTTGTGTGTCAAAGCGTTTGTGTGTCAGAGCGTTTGTGTGTCAAAGCGTTTGTGTGTAAAAGTGTCTGTGTGTAAAAGCGATTGTGTGTAAAAGCGTTTGTGTGTAGAAGCGTTTGCGTGTAAACGTGTTTTTAGAAGCGGTATTGCGCGTAAAAGAGATGAGGGGGAGGATGGGGATGATGAGGAGGAGGATGAGGATGAGGATGAGGTGGAAGCTTCTCTGTGTAAAAGCTTCTCTGTGTAAAATCTTCTGTGTGTAAAAGTGTCTGTGTGTAAAGCTTTTGTGTAAAAGCGTCTGCGTGTAAAAGCTTCTGTGTGTGTAAAAGCTTCTGTGTGTGTGTGTGTGTAAAAGCTTCTGTGTATGTGTAAAAGCTTCGGTGTGTAAACGGTTCTGTGTGTAAAAGCTTCTGTGTGTGAGTGTGTACGTGTGTGTCTGCGTGTATTTATGTGTAAACATGTTTCTCCGCGTGTGTCTGCGTTTGAGAGCCTAACAGCATATCTGTATATTGATGTATATTGGTATTTTCTAACATCTTCTATATAGTGTGCCTTCTCTGTCTCTTGCAACCAAAACCTTGACATCTTCCCATCTTCTTATCTTGACATCTACACATATGAACATATTCACATGATCGCAAATAACATTCTCATGAAAATATTCATGCAAGTCTTGACCACATCTGAGCATCTGTACACCTACTCGCTCTCGGGCCAGCCGTCATCTCCATCAGGGCCATCGCCCACTGCCATAGATATCTCGCAGCCACCCCCAAAGCGCGCACCGCACTCTGACAGCAGGACCCTGTAGCAGCACCCAGGCTCCTGAGATGTAGACAGTGGTTTGACAGTAGTACCCTGCACCGGCACCCTCAAACCGCCGGTACCCTGCCTGCGGCAGCGCCAGCATGCCCATTCCACACGCCACTCTGAGAGCAGCACCTGCAGCACCTTGCAGCGGCACCCTGCAAGGCCTTGGAGCGCGCACACCACTCTAACAGCAGCAGCACCCTGCAGCAGCACCCTGCAGCAGCACCCTGCAGCAGCACCCTGCAGCAGCACCCTGCAGCGGCACCAACATGCCCGCCCCAAAACGCATACATGCAATTCTTCCTATATCTTGCGCGTGTAGGGTTTGGGATGCCTGGCGGGTGCATCCTGAATGTTCCATGTAAAGCAAGAATTGATTTCGTTTTCCTTCGGGCCAGCAACACTGGCTTAGCGCTGAAGATTCAATTACAAAAGGCAGTAAGATGGGGAGACCAGTGCTTAAAGCACAGGGGTATTGACTGATATTGCCAGGCGTTCATTGCTTTCCTTGAATGCATTTCTACATGTTGAAATCTAAGCGTGAAGGTTCCAATTTTTTGTGGCTGGTGCCACTGGTCTCGCCATGGCGGGGCATACGTGCATGCATTGCAGCTTCATCGGTGAGCGGGGCAAATGCGAACGGCCCGGCACACATCATGCACCCTATTGTCCGCGACTTGCCTCAGACGTGACTGATATTTCCTGGGCTCTGTTGAGCTTTGGCAAACGAAATCTTGAAACTTGAAGACTTAGTTGAGGAGATTTCTGGCGCGCTGCAAGTTCTGCAACTGCAGGGGCGGCTACGAACGTGTTACGAAGGACCTCAGATGCTTAACATTTGCCTGTTCCGGGTTCCGAGAAGTTACCTTGGCTCATATTTCACCAAGCACAGGAGCATGGCCAGCATCGAAGTTTCTGTCCACGCTTTCGAGGCGACGCGCAAATAACGAGTCACACGAGTCACACAAGCCAGTTGAGTTTCATGTTGCACCGTTCTAGGCAAGTGCAAAATGTGCGGGGTGACTGGGGCCTACGAAGAAATCGCAATGACGAGCCCTTTCCACAAGACTTTCTGTGTCTTGGCGATTTCCGATCCCCTTGCTTGTTTTCAAGAAGAATTTCCTAGAAAGATTTGATTCTGTTTTTGCGAAGCAAAGGTGAGAGGTTCTCAGAGAGGCAGGAACCATCGGCAGCCTGTCTTCTGCAGCTGAATGGCTGAATGATGTGGAAGGCATAGAATCTGACTTGCTTCACACTTGCTGTCTTGAAGGTGCCATTTTTGCGGTGCTCCTGATGGTGCAATCCATGGTGGTCATCACCAGGTTCCTTCCTACCTGGGCTGATGAAAAAACGAGCGAAGGAGCAAAGAAGTAGTCCTGGCATGCAACTTTTGGCATGAAATCAAACGCAGAAAATCATCACGTTTGAATACAATTAAGATCATTTGAACAATTGCCCGCATAGGTGAAATGCTCCCGCTTTCGTGGCGAGTGCAAACATTGCAATTTGGTGGGATCGTCATGGTGCATCCCTCAGTCGTAGAAACTGCCAAAATTGTGTCTCGGAACATATGAAACGCTGCCGAACATGCGGCCAAAAACCCACGGCATCTTTCATCTTGGATATTTCGTGTCATACGACATAACACGCGCCATCAAAACAGATGAAATCCGACGCATTCCAATTGCACTGGGGCTCAAAGGTATGTGACGACGCATGGCCGACAGCATGCAGAGGCCGGAAAACGCTGCAAACGCAACACATAAACGGTGCGAACCCATAAAGAGTCATACTTAGTGACAATTAATCATATTCTGAGCAATTGGAACCATTGCAATGTCTCAAGACAGGGATGTCCACGGCGATGGGATGGTGGACTGGAGCTGCAGCCGGGCCCTGATGGTTGATCTGATACAAGATCCGAATCAACAAATTTTTGCTATGCCATCGCCGCAGCTGTGTCCGCACCTGCAGACTGCTAGGCTCGATGAAGACACACGGCCCCGAACATCATCTGTTCTGGCTTCTGTGTGAAACAGGCTTGTTCCGCTTGTCCTGCGTCATGACGCCCTGCAGGTGCTTATAGGAAAAAAAGCTTGGGTCACGGGCCGGCCAAAGAATTTTCGCCGCAACTGTGACAAGAATGTTTGTCCCAAAGACGGACTTTTGTGCCATGGGTTTCAAGTTTCAATCGGATTTAATTGCAGAGTTTGCCATAAGCTCAAGGCTCTTCATGGCTCATGGTGCACTTTTTTCCAAGCTGAACCCAAGACAATGGTCAGAATGTGTTTCTCCAAAGGAGAAAATTAAGGAGCATAATCAGGAAAGCAATTCAAAAAGCAGATTCCAAATATTCAGCTTTGATAATATTATTGTAATTCAGGTAATGTAATAATCGAAGGAAGTTTAGAAGTCAAACTTCCGACAATATGGAGAGATGAAAAGCAGGGCAGAGGCAGAGAGAAGAGGAAGATTAGAAGAGAGAAGATCA